GTGTCATCAGAAATCAATCCAAGTGCAAAAGATGTTGACCATCCCCACCAGTTGGACAGTTGCCAAAGGATACCCAAAGATGAAGCTATTCGTTTTGGCATGCATGTGCTATCTGAAAGCTGTGGCGGTGCTCCTCCAGACTGATTCCAATTCGCACATCATGCACCGTCACAATGGCGTAGGATCTATCCAAGGTGCCAAGGTACAGGTTCAAGCCAGTAAACCCAGTGGATTTGGCCTGAGATGCATCAATGATTGATATAACACTACTCGCATATTATATTAGCACTAGAACCGACAGTGGGGCATCATGATGCGCCAAAAGCTATTTGTTGTGAGCTGACCCCATCAAACATCCGCGCCATGTCCAGGCAGATGAGGGCGTGCAGTTGGTTTTAGGGAGTGGATGTGTCGGGATAATCGCTGGCCGCTGTAAGCTTGGCTCATGACCACGTAGAAATCTTCAGAGTATAGAGAGGATGACAACTCATGCTGATACGACATGATGATTCAAAGAGCATATTCTAAAGCTTTACTGTAGATAGCTTTAGGATCTTCAAGCCTGAATCTAATCATTGCTGTAAGCCGGTTCCACTGGGTTGGTCTGACAATGAACTGAAGATACAAGACAGCTAAACAAGTGAACACCTGATCACGGGCTGCTTGTCTCACGGGTCCAATGAGTTTATGGTGAATTCGTGCTATTGCAAGAAGGTTTGTGGTGATTTACAGCAAGTTGTAGAAAACCCACTGCTGGTGGAGATGCAAGTTGCACTTGCTTCATGTTGCATCCCCAAAGTTGAATGCCCTTCTGTGAGCTGCATTTTATGGCGCAAGCGAGACCACCTCTGCTCCACCCTATAGATCCATTTTGGTTTATCTTACTGGCAGATGACATCGTGGTTGTGGGGTTGGCAGGTAGCTGCGGAATGAAAACTTGTACACTATACGACTCTAATCGACTCTATGCAGCTGATGAGAATTGATCGGTGGTTCTTGCTGTTAACCCATACCATCCCAGACCCTTGTCACTATGATTGCCAATGCATGCCTGTAGGCCCTGTAGGCATCAATCGTGGCATCAAGGTGAATGCTTGAATCACACCGTGGAAGCAGCACATCGTGGCCCTGAGGGTGCAGATGACTCCCATGTTGTGCGACAAGAACGCCCGCAGAGAACTCCCGCAAAACGCCCACAATGTCTGGCAAGCTCCCACAATGTTTGGTAGTCCTTGGCGTACTGACATTTGCTAGACTGCTAGATGTGCGCGAGTCCAGTCTTTCTCATAAATACTATAATTCTGTGACCTGCGTAGTTCAGATTTTGAACTAGCAGATGTGCAGTGGAGAGTGTGAAGTGGGGTCAGGGTTCGGCGATCGTGGTAAGAAAAAAAGCCCGACAAGAACTGCTGTAACTTGTAAATAGCAGGGTTCTTTTGATCAAAGTGGACAAGCGACCATGAAAAAAAGCATCGATGAAACACTTATTCTTGGAATCACTTGCAAAATTAAGGCGGCAGCTCAAGGTCAATGAAAAAGCAGGTGCTAGCTGGTGTTTGCAAGTTGGAAACGTCCTCCGGTCGCAGATCCTCGTGTGTACAGTCACCTTCAACATATAGGTTGCCCCTCCGCACCCAAGCTCTTACTGTAAATGTTTCGATACATTTGGCCCGAACAGGTGTCCAAACGCATGGCACAGCGTCCATGTTTTAACATTTTTTCTACACACCCAGCGGGTGGCTGGTGCCATGGCGGGGCCATTTCCTTTGCAGCTGGTGCCTTGGGTTTCAATTTTGCTGCCAGCATGGCGAACCCAGGGAGATACCACTATCCACGGCTAAGATCCGGATTCCTCTTTTCTGCTCCAGATTTGATGAACTTGGCAGCTTGAGCATGTGTTGCGTGGGATGGGTCTCAGACACCTTGTGATAGCTTGATCATCATGCTTTGTGGGGCCATGATATGCCGAAAACTGAGGTTCTTCTTTGCTCTCTTGCAGGCCGAACTCTGGGAGCACCTTTTCTTCTCCCACCTTCCAACGTAATAGCTCAGTCTAAGCATAGTTCTAAGCATATAGTTGAAGTTGGGATGAGCTGGAGGACTAAGACTGATGGACACGACGTTTTGGGTGATACACGCACGTTTTGGGTGCTTGAAGGTCTTTTGGACGCAACACATGGCTGCTTAAAGCTGGATGCCTTAACGATGGACAAGATCCTCGGCCTGGGAATGGAGTGCTTAGGAAGTCACAGGAATCGAGATGATTCTGGGGTGAATCCTGAATCCTGCAGTCGGCGAGGGGAACATCCCACGACCCTGAGGCCACAAAGATGTCGTGTTGAGTCTTAGGAAGTCACAAAGGGCAAGACGCAAACCGCAAAAATGGCAGACATGCGCAAACCGCCAAAATGGTTGATCCTGCATTCACTCCATTTTGGCCCCACCAAACATGTCAAAGGGCTTGCCACCCGGCGTCAGACTGCCAGCCGTGCGTCGCACCAAGGATGTTGGCTATACCTGGGCACAGCTTCTTTGTGAAGACCCTTGGCGTATCACCGGGACAGAGACCCCGAACAACGAACTCTGAACCGGACGGAGGACGAGTCTCCGAAGGCCAAACCAGCACCAGCTTTCATCGCTGGTGGCTATGTCAGTTGGGAGGCGGGATGGCACAAAACGCGGAATCCGGACGTTCTGAGCTGCAGGCGTCCCCATGTTCAGCATGGTTGCAGTGGCACGCTTGAACTCACCAGAGATGACTAGTGCCACGAATGCCAACGAATGATATGTGAACATCCAAGCTGACTGTTGTGTACACTGGGGTGTACATGAGGGGGGCTGTGTGTCAGGGCTCCAGAGCCATACCAATACATTATGTATATCGTTATGTATATATATATAATATATATCCTGGCATCCTGGTGGGAATAAACGTTATAAAATGTGAAGCTCGAGCCCCCTGGGGGCAGCCATTTTATATAGCAGCCATTTTATATAAACATTAGTTGGTATAGAATGGAAACCACTAGGACATGTATGAGTGTGAAAATTGGATTTGGTTTTCCTGGCCCAAATGTGACCTTTCATTTTATAACAAAAACATCTTGCATCGCAGGGTGAACAGCCAAGATTTGCTTGATGTGTTAGGTTTTCATGTTATACAGATGGAAGCTGATGGAGGGTTCCAAGTGTTCATTTTATAAAGAAGGAGTGGGCGAGCTAAGATAGAGTATGGTAGAGTTTGATTTTTTTTCATTTCTCAACTCGTTTTGATTCGAATGCCGTTGAATTGGTTCACATCAACATGACTGTATGGGCAGCAAACTGTATGACTGTATGCTTTTGGAAGGTGATTTGTATGCATAAGGTTGCATCGACCTGCATTGTAGAATAAACACCCAACATCACCTTGGACATGGTCTCACTATAAAATGAAAGCCCAGTAGGCCCCACCCTCCCCACTACCCCTCCCCCAGCCAACCCCAGCCAAATCTACAGAAACCTTGTTGGCATAGAATATGTCAATTTCCATTGGAAACCACAAATGGAAACCTGGAGAAGAATTCATCTCCATCATTCACCTTTGGCCTCCTTGGGTTTTGATTTATAGACCTGGGGGGTGGTGTCTTGATTTTATAAAGCTCCCACACCAACCGCCTATCAGAATCCTGGGGAGAAGTGAGCCTTTGACATGGTGCCGCTATAAAATGAAGACCCACTAGGCACCACCCTCCCCACTACAACCCCCCCATTCATAAATCATCTCCATCATTCACCGTTGGCCTCCTTGGGTTATGATTTTATAGACCTGGTTGGGTCGTGTTTTGTTGATGTTTTAAGACATATTTTGTAGGTCTTCCACACCAACCACCTATCAGAATTCTTGTAGAAAGTGAGCCTTTGATATGGTGCCACTATAAAATGGGTTGCTTATAGAATGCAATATGAAGCCACTGCAGCCACCAGCTGCTATAAAATAGATTCCTGCCCAATCTGACATAGGTGAACAATTAAGAGATAGTAAAGATCTCAGCTTGGTTTTTTCAATTTATAAAGCCCTAAAAACCTTTGTTATTGAGGCATGTTTGAAAAGCCATATGTGCAAAGAGAGGGTTGAGGGGTGACAGTTTATATTGACAGAAGGTGAGTGGTGTGTGATCAGGTATTCATTCTATAATCAAAATGCGGGGCCCAACCCCTCCCTGGAATTCCATATGAAAGGAAATCCGAGGGGAGGGGTTGGGGATTATAATATATTATAATTCTTTTGTATAGACATATCGAGACCTCGCAACATTCCTCACCATACCCATTCATAACCGAGGATTGATGAACCATACTCATTTGGCCACTTGGCGAAGGTTCACAAGCGGCTGCCTATTTCTGTGAAGGTCACTGGAACCTTTGCTGTTTACAAATTGTTTCCCCGGCTCCATCTAAATCTACAGTATGTGGTTAAGCAGGTGTTGGATATAGAATGCCACTCAATTTTAAAGTGGAATCCTTGAAGGAAACCGGAACAACTGTTTGTTTTTGTTTGTCGTTCCCGCACTCACACCCATCGCTTTGCACACCAGCTGCCGATCCGGTCCCTTTGTGCTGAGGTGAGAGTCTCAGCTGGATTAGTGTGAGGTGGGCAGATGTCAAACTGCTAAACCCAGCTGGCCACCAATTCCATGGCTCTCCAGGTCAGCTTATGCAAAGACTGGTAGTTCTCACAGGTAGGAGATGAAGAGGTGGCACCAGGAACGGGTGCTGTAAGGCTTAGACAGCTTCAGGCAACCGGCATTGCCCTAGACAAGCAATGTTACATAATGTTATTATGTATTGTATACTTAGACTTGCAAATTTTTGAGCATCTTGCTGCCAGAAATAAAGCCGCAGCAAAAGCAAAGCTGTCCCAGGATCCTTATTACTATATAGTTAGACCCGATCATTCATGCAGAATCACCTCATGAAACCTCGTTCGTGTTGGGACGACGACAGCGTTCTTCAGGAAGATGGAGGCCTTCAGAAGCATTTGCCAGTTGGCCTACTCCGTCCCCAACTTCTTTGTGGCTGAAGTGCCAGTCCAGCGCTTCAACGAGAAGGATAATGATGAGGCCAAGCTAATGGGGATCCAACATGGGGGGCCGTCGGAGGGGTTGGCAAGGACAGCACTTGCGAGCTGATGCATTTCCGGCGATATGTTGACTCCTACTCGAATCCATAACGAGCGGTCATGAATGGGATGTTCGCATCAGTCCATGTCGGCACCACAGGTGCGGATCAGATTTAACCTGACCTTGGAAGACTTTCCAGCTTTCTACCTCTTCCAGGAGCGTCGCCTCGCAGCGAGCCGAGCTTTCGGAAATCCACCCGACCCACGTCCAATGCCGCCAAACGTGTCGATTCCGAGTTCAGCATGGATGACTCAATGATCGTTCAAGCAATGTGGTCATACAATAAGAATTTTCTTTTGCTCACCCCTCACAGCTATATTCCTCCGCTTTTGTCAAGAAGAAAGATGTGAGGATCGGAAGCCTAAGAGTGTGCAGGCTATGCCAGGTAGGATGCCACACCGCAGTCATCTCAATAGTCAGCTTGGGCGCAGGTGAGAGCTCAATAGCAACCAGCCTGCACCGTCACCAATAGTTCTGCGCACTGGTTTTGACTTTTGTGTGTAACTGAGCCCGGGTATATCGTCGAGCGTTTCCAAGTGCAGAAAAAGGAGGGGGCAGAGGCCATGAGATATCCAGATGCTACCCAAGCACCAAATATGATAAGATGGCTGCATCCCGGCTTCAACTAGAAATTTGCTTTATTAGCAAATGTTGCATGACTTTTGGCAGCATTCGCATGCACTTCCGGATCAAGTGAGTGGTCTCAACTCACCTTTGCTTTCATTATCAGATGCTCCCACAACAAGGATCACAACAGCCTCCCGTGAGATGCCGTTGTTTGTGGGCCTATGAGGCGATCTTACAACATCATGATGCCTTCCATCGAAAGCATTGATGAGCTGGATGCTGTGGTGAATACCTTCCTGCAACAGCCGGAGATGAGGCGTGGGAAGACAGACCATGTCCCTGCCTTGGGTTTTCCGACCCTGGGATACCCTTCACCAACTTGACCAAGGATTGGAGCTTGCAGTCTAGGTCCCCATGAACCATGAGACTTGAGACTTAAAGATTGACATGTGAGGCGACCCACAAGAGAAGGCGGGAGTGGAGTCTTGTCGGGCCACGATTGTCCAACAACTAGGCTACAGATTCTTTGGAGTCGCGGCTCGGCCACTGTCCTCCCCAGTAAAAAATTGAAAGAGAGCGAATAAAGACAGGCCCGTCAAAAGTATTGATATTACTGTATCGCTTTAGTATAATAGTTAGTAGCAGTAGCAGTAGCCAGTACCAGTACCAGTACCAGTAGCAGTAGCAGTAGCAGTAGTAGTAGTAGTAGTAAATAGTAAAAACGTATTATCATTCCATCCTTCTTGACTACTTGTATCTGGGATTGAAGGGTGATGGCCTAGTAGAGCTCACGTGCTCACCTTTGGATCCAGGCACGTGGAGATCGCAAAGGAGATCGCCAAGAAGTACACGACAGATGCCAAAGCACCCATGCAGCTGAGACGACATGTGTCATTTGTGTCAGGAAAAAGTTTGAAGCCGTTGAGGGTTCCAACATATGTTCCAAGATCAGCTGCAGCCCAGTGATTGAGACACTAAAGAATAAGTCATACGTTATAAGTCTCCGGGACTCCATGTAGCCCCTGCATCAACTACCATGATGACATACTTGTCAAAAAGCTGGACTCTAGACATAAGCAACAACCAACTCACTCATTCAGACCCTCACTTGTATCTAGCAAACAATGCATTTGTCCAACGGCCAGATGCCAGGTATGCGAAGATCATGGAAAAGATTTTGGACCTTGGACTTGAATTAGAACTTGTTTGGGTGCAGGATCCGCAGAACAGACTTGTAATCTCGTGTGGTGCAACTATAGAGCCGTACATTTGGACATGAGACGTTGACATATATATATAGAGAGAGAGAGAGCAACAAGAGGTGCGCGGTGCACAACCGGTGTTGGAGCATGTTGGAACACGGAGTTTGTAGGCCTTGACCCAAGACCTCACAGCACCCAAGGACAAAGGCCTTGGATATCCTGTCGATGAAGTTGCACGAGTCATGAAAATCCTGGAGGGGAAGGCTGGTTTAGAACCAAAGTTGCATCGAGAAATTGTGCTGATGCGTCAACCAATAGTGATGCATTTACTGGCCGACACCTTCTCGTCGCAGCAAGACATTGGAGGACACATGGAGCTGTCCCACTTGAGTCATTCGAGACTGGGCCATGTTGCCATGTTCCAGGTGCATCCAGAGAAGCGGAAAGAGCTTGGCGAGAAGTTGAAAGTGTTGACCCTGAGCTGCTGAAAGTCAGAAGGAACCTCTCACATTTCCAATAACTGTCTGACTGTAAGAGGGAGAGACACAAAAGGGCAAGATAGGGAAGCAAACTCAAGCCCAAGGGGGGCCCAGGCGCGGGCAACCAGACTTTCAGGCAACGAAGGGGGGTCCACATATATGGATTATGGCCTTCCTTAGGGCTACTCTTTGGACATTCCAGCATATTCCAACCAAGTTGTCAACGATGATTCGGACAAAGATCCAAGACTTTGTTCTCAGGGGCCCCGAAGGGAATAAGACTTTGTTCGAGGATTGGGGCACAAAATGAACATAATTGAACTGAGGAAGATCTTTGCGAAATTGGAGGCTTGCGATGTCTATCAATGCCCTTCTGGCTACGAAAAGCGCTTCGGTGCCGCAGGCCGAGGGAGTTCTTGACAGATGAACGCCTGAAATCAGCTGGCAGGTCAAGGCGGGACAGGTTCGTAGGCATGGAGATTGGAGTCATGGCACCGAGTTGAATTCGCATGATCTACACGCCGAGTTGCTAACATGGAAGTGGAAAACCACCTGTTGGGCATTTCAAGGGGCCATGCCATCCACATAACCATGATGATGTCTAGGGAGTGTAGAAAAGATTTTCACTGCTTAGCACCAATCAGATTATGTTTCTCCCGGTGATCACAGGCATCATTGGAGACACCACAGCAGCTTGCTGCAAACCGCGCTGCCGCAACACCGAAGGTTGCTGGGCTGAGCCTGCGAGGTTGGGCAGTTATGGGAGTCGGCCTGCACCACCAAGATGTTGTGGGTCCTACAAGACACATCAAGACACATGTTATTTTTGTGACAATACATTCTTGGATCGTATTGTGGCGTCGTTTCCAAAAGTTCATATCGGTTCACATTGCTCCCACTTTCTTTAAGAATTGCACCTAAGCGGCCTAAGACCTGTATTGTGTTTTGCGCTGTTTGGCGTGGCTTTGTGAACCGCTCAGTTTTGATCATTTTTGTGCACTTAAGACTTTGTGGAAAAAAGTAACCAAAACATTGATGAGCACTGCTTGTAAAGTTTTGACCAAAGTGTCCCAGGCCGGTTGGCATTGATAAAAAGAGCGTCAAGTTTCTGTGATCAAGTGTTCCCACAGATCAGATGCTCATCGACTCCTTTTGATCAGAGTCACCCTCAGGGTTGGTCACTAGGACTTGGCTACAAGATCTCCGTGTGACACAGTGTGTGTCGCGTACTGTATCTCTGATGGACGGGGTGAATCATAGATATAGGTCGTCGTCGAAATGCAAAGTGACATAAGAGACGATAAGAGAGGGATTGCCAGGCAGCTACTAGGAACAATAAGCTACTAGGAACAAGTGCATCGCTTCTAGTAACAAGTGCCTTACTAGTAGTAACAAGAAGCTACTATGAACAAAGATCCATCCTTTGGATGCGAGTTTCAGGCCATCCATCCGAGTTTCAGGTCACACCCCTTTGACAGGCCACTTCTTTTGAGTCGAAATAAGTCGGGACCGACATGTTTCTGGCTTCATCTCGCCGACTGAAAACCATCCTGAAGGCCCATGGCAAAGGCCCATCCGCCTAAGGCGATGAGCATGACGCGCAAGGCCATCATTGTGACTATTATGATGAGCGTACTGTGCAGGAATGTGGCAGCTGGCCAAGCAAGTCGTGGTAGTTGGAGTGGGTAGACACAGGGAAGAAAGTTGTCAGCATGTAAGGGATGTAAGGCTAAGTTCAAGAGTTTTGTGTATGAGAGCAGCTCAAGGAAATCAAGGTCGTCATATCCCATTGAACCAACAAGCTATCGTGGACAAATCAGAGTAGGGATCGCAGAATTTGTTGCACACGGCCAAGCCGACTGGAGCAGGCAGGCCGGCAGTGCTCCGTTCCTTTGGACCAACTTGACCCGACTGTCCGACGCCAAGGAGATTGGGACACACGAGACTTCCGGGCGAGCCGCGTGTGCTGTGCTTGTGGCGGCGGGGACTCGCGCATCTACGACACCTATTGAGGCCCCGCTGTTTCTCCTGCAGCTTGAGCTTCTCACCCGAACCAGGGCTTTTGGTTGGTGTGGACCTTTCTGGTCACGAAAGAGATTAGCTGTAGCAAAACTACCAGGTGTACTATGGTGTACTGTAGACTGGTGATTGCCAGGTCAAGCTTTGCGCAGCTTGGACCTTGCCTTTGACCTGCCCTGACATTGTGCCGAATATGCACTATACTCACACCAGAGATGCAACTGTCGAAGCCACTCGCTGCCATGCGTTCATTTGCCTGATCCGCAAGGAGGTCTTGGTGCTTGGAGAATGTATAGAGGGTTGCTAAACCGCCAGCCATCAAGTGCTGCAGTTTAGTTTCCTTAACCTCATGCACTGACAGTGGAACCAGCCCTGTGGCAAACCTGTATAGGGCTTCACGCTGCCGCGATGAGAAGAAACACATCACTGAAATCAGCCCATGTTGGCCGGATTTCATTTGTTTGCTCTTTGGATTTGCACGTGCTTCAGATCAGATTGATTGAACATGCTTGAAACCTTGCCAGGCCAGACAATGGCATCGCCTTCCTGCCCTGGGAGGAGGGATGATGGGCTGCCATGGTGCTTATCAAGCATTTTCCTGGTTTCCTGTAGAAGGCCACCCTGCACTCCAGGTCCAAGGGCAAACACACGTCTATGCTGAAGAATCGGCCACATAATGGCTTGTTTGATTCTTTTGTCAGCGGTTTTCATGAGGACGAGCCAGGATGACCAGCGGATGACAAACACCCTCAACTTGCTAGATTACCATGACTATACCTCACGTTGACCCAGGATGACCAAACGTCACACAATTTACTGTATATATAATGGATGTTTGTTACGTATGGACCCCCATATAAATCACGCGGGATTGTGCCATTTACTCTGAAACCACTGTATCGACATGTTGGGCAAATTGCAGCTCCAAGAGTCTCCAAACCGCTGCGGAGGCCTCTTCCCATCACGCCTTTACAGGCGCCCAAAGCTTTTGAGCCAAGCCAAGTGGTTCTTGTAACGCCAGTGCCTTGGAGCTGTCCTGGTGCTTAATAAAGAGTCACGAAATAAAAGAGAGAGAGAGAGAAAGAAAGAGAGAGTCCTCGGAAATAGTGTAAGGGGAGGATTTTTGCATATATGTGTGCAATATCGTAGGCCAATTTGGCTGTTTATCACGGGGGCCTGGGGGGGGCTGAGGGGGGGGGTCTATAGACTGTATGACTAAGGCCTTTTTAGAGGGTGACTAAGCTATCAGACAACTATCGGATCAGCCCCCACACACACACTCTCCCAGACAGACATGTGCACTTTTTTTGGTTTGACCATCGGAGTGCCAGCACGATGCGTCAGCAAATGTTGTTGCTTATAGTGTTGTTTGATGGAAGGAAAGAGGAATGGAATTCAGGTTTTCCAGTTGGCATTGGTAGCTGGAGCCTACCAGCCAATGAATCATTAATCAGTTTGGGAACCTTTTGGGGCGCCAAAATTGATCACTTTTGAGGGCCCCTGGATATGCCTTAAATAAGAGGGAATCTGCAAGATATTTTATATGGTTTTTGGGTAAGCCCTGGATCAACCCTGGATAGCTCATTCCACAGGCCTCTAGTAATGCCAGAAATACAACCGAGGAGCCCTCAAATTGAACCCACAAACAAAAAACCTAAGGACTAGCTTTTGGCATTTTGCTGGTAAATTTATATAAATATCATGATTGATGAAGCCCTCAATCGGTTGTCAAAGAATTGGAACCGGGGGCTGCAAAAGGAACGGCTGTCAAATAAATCAAGTGAAGCGAAGGGATGAAGACCTCGATTGGGATTGGGTGGTCTCATTTGGATAGCCTAGTCTGATGCTATCCAGGGCTAATAAGCCTCTATTAGTGCCTTTTGGATAAGACCCTATTAGATCCTTAACCATCTGGGGTAGAAGCCGATTAAAGGCTCAATAGATGCTTATTTAAGAGCTTAATAAGCATCCACACTCTCAGAGCCTAATCCAAAGACAAGCCCTAAGCCCAATAGCCCCCCGGCTCAGCACCGATGAACCGATGAACCAAGCAAAGCACACAGTTCAGCATACTTGCCAACAGCATTAATATGCATTATACAATTTCAAAAAAGTCGCCATTGAAATTGTTGCAAAAAATGCACCAGATTTTGCACCGGGCCAGGGCACTTCCGCGTCATCTTCCTCCCGCAGACCGCACGATGTCAGGAAGAAGGCCATGGGCCGGGCCATGTTGAGAGTCCCGAGCTAGTTCCGAAGCTGTCAGCAAAGAGCACAGCAAAAGCTGCCATCACGAAGCTCTTGCTTGCACTTTGAGTCTAACATAGTCTAACAAGTGTTTTGAACCTATTCATGATCGAAACGTTTATAGCGTATCCTGGTGCACATTTATCTGACATCCTCGCAAGGAACACGATACCTTTCATCCGAGTTCTGTTAAAGACTGTCCGAGTTAATGACAGAGTTGCCTGAGGAACTCAGCCAGAAACCAGGCGACAGAATCAGACAAGGTGTGTGTGGAATATTCCACCACCCACCAGACTTGATCTAGACAGACGCGGTCATGTCCAGTGCAACAAGTTGCACTGAACAATGAACAAACCCATAAAACCTGCCATTCTGGGCAAAGGAGGTGGAAGCTACAACACAGGCACATAAAACATCTCGTGTACATCATACACCCATCCTGAAGCCATTCTTGCAAAAGCCACCGATCCCTGCCTGATGCAGGGTCTTTTTGAGCAAGCTACTCTTCACCAGAAATCCCTCATCATTGGACATACCGGACACTTGTGGGTTTTGATGGGACATGTTGATCATGTTGGAAACATGTATCTGTATATATGACAAGGTGTGGACCCGTCCAAACAAACATCTCAAGGTGACAGCTGGAGCCCTGGCTGAAGCAGCCGTCGGATGGGCAGTCAGTGGCTCGAACACTCGCAATCCAGCCTCACAGGTTAGGTTAGCAGCTTGTTCTCAGGATTGTTTGTTGGTGCCAGGGACATACTGAAAGTTCCCTTCAACAACATGTTTGATATTGTTTGATTGTGTTTCTTGTTTGCACAGGTGCCATTTCGGAAGCCGCTGAGGCATTGGGCTGGGCCGGTTGCCTGCGTTCACGGGCCAAGGCCTCGGGGCACGACGGCGCAGTCATGGGACGTCGGTCAACGCACGAGTCGCTGCCGGGGCCAGGTGCGGCGGCAGAGCGCACAACCAACCCGGAGAATCTTTGCTTCACGTGAGGTTGAGATGGATGGAGTGGAGGTGAGGTCCGCTCAGTCGTTGCCGGTAGCAAGTTTGACAACATCAGATTCCGTGGGTTCCTGAACCCTTTTGTATCCTTTTGTTATTTCCATTCTGGGAGGTGATTGGCTACGACTTGGACTACACTCTGGTGC